CAAAATTAGGTGTTCACAAGTTGTATCATTAATTTTTTGTATTAGTTACCATGTTTTATCCCTACCTTATTACGTGTGTATATGCAGATGTTACACCATTTTGGAATGCGATTCCACACTATGAGGTTGTTAATAGGGATTACCTAAACGAAGACATACTAGATGTTGAAGGCTTAGGTCGTGGTCCGTGGACAAGATTAGAGGAAATGTATATGAAATAAGAGTTTGGGTTTAAGCATGACATCCAAGCCGCCATAAAACATTAGTACACATTAAGAAGTTTTAGTAGTCGAGAGCACTACGACCAAGTTGTCTATGAAATGTCGAAACCATGAACAAGGTTGCAATTAACAAGTGAGAGCAATTAAACTGAAGAATAGCAGCACCTGAGTGGTTAGTAAATGGGTTGAAAATCATAGTTGTGTGATCAAAATTCTCTCCCAAGATCACAAGCAACTTGATTTTGAATTTATTTCTATGGCCATAATAGGTACTATGCATTCTTTAACTATTCATTTTGATAATTATCTATGTTTATCAGTGGATGTAAATAAAATTTATAATACGCACATGCTGTGAATAGGATTACAAACATGGTCAAGGATTCACCTTCGGTACCCGGGATCCTGATACAAGAATGTGTGACTGGTCTCTTTGGATTTCATGTTTCTTACAGGAAGGCATGTAAGGCAAAACAGAAAGCAATTGCTAAGATTTACGGTGATTGGGACGTGCTATATGCATTCTTGCCAAGATGGTTCGGGCACATGTGGCATTTTTCCTAGGAATATGTTTATCATATTCAAGATGAACTGTATATCATCAATCGACATGTTGTTAATGGGTATCGAATTTTTCAACATGTTTTTTGGATTTTCAATCAATGTCGTGAGACGTTCAAATGGAGCAAGCCAGTTATACAGGTGGACGGTACACATCTGTATGGGTAAACGAAAACATGTAAGGGGAAACAGAGGCTTAAATAGCCATGACTAGTGACCATTGGGGTCGTGAATAGCAACAATCAAGGCTATTTAGGTCTTTCTGCTCGCCAAATCATAACTGCCACAATCGTGGGTGGAAACCGCAGTTATCATGCGCGGAAACCGCAACACGGAGAAAGCCAAGGGGAAAGGGCATTACTGCCAATTTACCCCAAAAATCAATGATTAGACAAATGAAATGATGCTGCAATAAATGCGCACGAAACGCAGCGACGACATAAAACAGCTGCAGCACGCTAAAGCACGCGGGATGTACCACGTGGCAGAATGAAATGAGTGCAATTCCAAACCAACAGATAAGACAAGATATATACTCATACAGCTGTTAACCGAGTTAAGCGTTGACACTTGGGGCAACTCAATAGTCGACTCACGACTACCAAAGCGCATCTTCTACCCGGCTACCCCATGAAAGACTCGACGGGTTCATGCACAAACCGTCTACCAAACAAATAGGCATAATGACATAATCTGAGTTAAGGTATAACGCTTGAGGGCAACCCGCCGGTGAGATTCGAATAACTTAAGCGTATTCCTAACTCGGAGTAGGAACATGGTTGATGCTCAACCAGCAAAGCAGTGCAACGAGGGAAAATGGCGGTGAACACGACATAAACAAAGAACTCTACATAAGCATATATGCTTACATAGTTACATCACGGGATAACACGGCTGTAGGAACCCGACAGCTCAGGATTATACCCGACCCAGAAGGTGAAATACGCAACATATCTCATCGGATTGATGCTCAAACCGTCGACATAAAGGGGCAAGGGACACCCCGTATGGAAAAAATTCCATCACAAGCGGAGCATGTAAAGTCTGCAGAAACGCGAACACATTCAGGGGCAAAAACCTGAAGAGATGCACACGTAAGTCCACCCCGACTACCCGGACTTCCACGTAGCCAGGCTGAGGGGCAACTGTTATGGACCCATATAATGGGCCCATTAAGTGGTAAGCCCAACCAGACGCAATATAAGATACAGATTGATATTAACAAAGAATAGATATCCATCAAGGATACTAATCCTAATACGACAGCATAGCAAACAGGCCTAGGCCCTCATCAGAGGTACCAAAGGCCCATCCACACTACCCACAGGTAACCTCTATAAATACAAGGTAAACCCTAAAGGTACGATATGCTCTCTCTCTTACTGTTATGCTGTCATTGTGCACACACACACCTCATTGGCTAACGCCATTACAATATTTTGTGCACAGTGATCTGCTTGACTCAGGGGTATCTTATTCATAGATACCTTGGAGAGGGCACTAGATTCAAGATCGATATACCAGCCTACTGGGCTGGACATCTCTGTCTTAAGGACAGAACACCACTAGGTCCTCGCTGTGCATCTATGTCGTGCATAATATAGAAATCCTTAGTGGCTGCCTATAGAAAGTCATTCGGTATGTCTTGTGCTAACTGATATGGACCGCTAGTAGATTGTGATGGATCCCCCGAAACGTACCCTCCCACATCAGCTATATCAATCAGGTGACTTATGCTACTGTCTGCAGCTGCACTACTTGATTCTGTGCTCTGATAAGCACCGAAGGCCGAACACTCGTGTGTAGGATGATAGGCGTTGAACCCTGCAAAAAATGGGGGTTGTGAACTCTGCAAACTCCTGCCCTGGTCGAATTGTGTGCCCATCCACTGATATGAATAAGGATACTGTGTTTGTGTGTGTAAAGGCATATGAGCAAACCCAAAGGATATATCTGATTGTAGGTGTGGAGGCATATGTGTAGGATACCACTGAATAGGAGTATAAGCCATAGCAGACCACATGGGTGGTCTATATACACCTCCACCGCGTGGACCAGGTTAGCTGCTTAATGCGCGGTTGTTAATGACCCATTCCCCGACCCTCCTATTTATGAGGCAGTATCTTTAACTCAGGATCTGGTACACCAACTAACGGTCCCGATGATGCACTTGGACCGGGCTCGACAACTCGTCCAAACTCTTTAAGAGCTTGTAGTAACTGGTCACAAACCTCTTGGACCTAGTCATTGTTTCACTGCACATGGAATTGTGGAGAATGCGTCCACCATATCCACTCTACCCTATCAACTTGTGTTTATACAGTAAAGTAAAAACACATAATAAATAATACATAATACGATGAAATATGGAGGATGCCAGAAACAAGATCAATACGTATCACATGACCAATCTTGGCCACTTGCCTCGTCATGAACCGTCGAGTGTGAGTGAAATACTAGGTCATATACTCGTCGTTCGAGAAAATGATCCACTGCGAAGCATCTGTTGTCTCAATACATTCATGCCTAGTGTTCCATAACTATATGTGCAGGTCCATCTTGGCTTCCCAATCCTCATTCAGTTTACCACGTAGTGTAAGATCATGTGCACCTCGCAGCTATCCAACAGGTCCAAGGATGTGTTGTTGCATGCAAAATTGCCGCATGCAGCGATCAGGCTAGTGCATCTCGACTATATGAAAAGCATGTATAGGTGTCATCGCCTCTCACATGTTCTGCATGTGTGGATCTGCACCGAGAAACTCATAACCAACGTCTTTATATGGCTCTACATAACCTGTTTTAAGAAATGAAGTGTAAGCATGTGCGCACGTTTTAGTACGATGTAAAACACAAACATTGAAGATATATTACGCTTATAAAAGGGACAAACATCAATATTTTATTAAAAAATAAAAAAATTCAGAAAGTCAACCAATTTCATAATAAGTTCAACCCATTTAAACAGGCTCTCAAGCGAGATATAATTAAACGGGTTGACGGGTAAGATTGTCCCAACCCATCATATATGACGGATTAAATAGGCTATTATGCCACTTATAAGTCCCAACTCCTTCCAATCCAAATGTTAAAATTAAAATAAATTAATAAAACAAAAATAAAGGGTTCGGTGATTCGGTCCTAGTAGCGGTTGGAACCGAACGACAACTATGCCCGTTCGTTCAAACTACTTGTATTAATTGGTCGAACCTTGACATCACGTAGATAGCCATCTCTCAATCAAATCTTCTTTCAGAGGTGGTTAGTTTTTTTATTTTATTTTAAAGTGAGATTTTTTTTAAAATAAACGAATAAAGTATATAAGTTTTTAAATTTTAATAAAATAATATTGTAAATTAAATAAAAAATTAATACATCCTTAATTAATTAAAAGAAAGAGATAGCTAGGTATATGTTAAACCATACAGTCCTAGGTAGAGGTGGCAAAGTGGGCGGCCCGCCCCGCCGCCTCATCCCGCCATCAACCTGCCAAAAAATGAGCCAGCCCGCCCTGCCCCGCTTTTGAAAGTGGGCTGAAAAACTCAGCCCACACTGCTCCACTTTTCAGATAGGTTGAAAAACTCAGCCCGCCCCGCCCCGTTTGACGGGTTGGACGGGTTGGCCCGTCGAGCCGAGCCCGTTTTGCCGGCTCTAGTCCTAGGTCATATAAAGCACATTTGTGTGTAACAACTAACAAGGAGGAAAGAGAAATGAGGGTTGAGCCGTGAGCAAGCAACAAACAACCCTAGACTTAAAATTGGGGGTGGATTTGGCATTAAATGCATTTACCAACAAGCAGCTGAACCCATTAACTGAGCAATAAAAGGGTCGGAAGTTATGCTCTGAGGCCCATGTTGTTCTCTTTTCCTTGTAGAAATTAAATGATATCATAAACTATGAGTTGTTGTAATACGTGCTGTTTGTCTGCATTCCTTATAAATGTTTGAGAATATAGTCTATTTGCTCCAAATCAGTTCCTCTGATTCATGCCAAAATCATTCCCTTTTCTACTAAACCAAGGGGCTCTTTTTGCATGGGACACCCCTCTTCAGTCATCTTCCCTCGGTCAAAACTCTCACTCACTCACTCCCCCATCATTCATTTCTCATTTCACCATTCATACTTCTTCTCTGCCTTTTCTCTCTTTAACTCCCTTAATTATACTTCTCCTTTTACATTTAAATTCTCCTCTTGAGCAAAACAAAATATAGAAAGTGAATGATGAGAAACTCAGAGCCAAACCATGTGGGTATGGAGATAGAGGCAAGCAAACCAGCAGAGACAACACTGCCTGGTTTGAGCCCTCTAAGTGAGACCCTTTGGAGGAAGAAGACAAACACAGAATTCATTGGAGATGTATCAGCTAGGCTCACTTGGAAGGATTTGACTGTGATGGTCACTCTCAGCAATGGAGAGACCCAAAACGTTTTGGAGGGTCTAACTGGATATGCTGAACCTGGAACCTTCACAGCACTCATGGGTCCTTCAGGTTCAGGCAAATCTACTCTGCTTGATGCTCTGTCTAGTCGTTTAGCAGCAAATGCCTTTCTCTCAGGCACCATCCTCCTCAATGGTCGCAAAGCCAAGCTCTCATTTGGCACTGCAGTGAGTCTTTTGACTAGTGTTCCCTCTTGCACTTGTTAGATTTAGATTTAGTTACTAAATACCTTTTTTGATGATCTGAGCGCTTTTTTATACTCACTAAATTTCACGATATTTGTTTTAGTCCTAATAAATAAAAAGGCTCATCGTGGTTCTTAAAAAATAAAATTTAAAATGGACTCATTTAGTTAAAATCATGATCCCTCACAAATTTAAAAAAAATCCATATTAGTCCTTAAAAGGATTAAAATATGTCCATTTTGAATTTATTAGAAATGACCTTTTTATTTGCTAAGGACTAAAATGGACATCGTAAAATTTGGTGTATTTACTCTTTAGTTTATTTTTCAGATCATGGTCTAGCTTTGGTTGGTTACATTACATACCTTACAACATAATAATAAATGCTTGTTCTCATTGTTTTATTTTCTGTTTTCACTTTTAAGTATAATTTTTTGCTATTTTGGGAGGTTAATTATTGTTAAGAATTCATTGTATATATGTGATTCGAACTCAGGCTTATGTGACACAAGATGACAACTTGATTGGTACACTAACGGTACGAGAAGTGATTTCTTATTCAGCACGTCTGCGACTGCCTAATGAGATGGCATGGTCAGATAAGCGAGCCCTGATTGAGAGTACCATTGTAGAGATGGGTCTTCAGGATTGTGCTGATACAGTGATTGGGAACTGGCATTTGCGTGGGATAAGTGGAGGAGAGAAGAGAAGGGTTAGCATTGCCTTGGAAATCTTGACCAGGCCTAGATTGCTTTTCCTTGATGAGCCCACTAGTGGACTTGACAGGTTCACCACCTTTCATTTACTTTTTATTCTTGTGCCAAAGTGCTAACTATAGTTAATAATCACTATTTGTGCATTTGTTCACTTGTTTCACTTGTTAGGTTTAAACTCATGAAATCATCCCTTTATTCAAATACCTCAGTGGTTTAATTTTTGGCATCTAAGTTGAAGTGATCTCAAATTTATATGCTTAATTGTGCAATTTTGTCTTTGCACCTTAATTAAAGTGATCTCACATAAATTTTGATTTAATCACGTGAAAGTGACAACATGCGAGTATAATGGTGAATCTTTATCTTCATTGAAATATCTTTGTCAGTCTCATATTAATAACAAATTTAATATAATTAATTTTTTATGAAAAGAATATACTGATTACAGTATTAACCGTTTCTTTTTTGAATTCACTGTGTTTTAAGCAAAAATAAAAATAAACACTACAAATAGTAGCTAACTAAAAAAAATTAAAGTTGGTCCAATTTTTTTATTATTTTACGTGTGTAAAATTAACCCATGTCACACAGGCATAGACATGTATATATATAAGACCAATATATGAAAGCATGTTTTCGATGAGTATTTAATTTTCATCTTTAAGTTAAGGAAATAAAATATTACATTTTTTATTAAAAATATGAATAATATATTTAAAATAAATATTATAATAAATTTTCATAAAAAACGTTTCCTTGTAAAAGAACTTGTAAGTGATGGCATTAATCTTTCTCTGTTTTCATTTTTTTTCACTGTAACTTATTTTGTTTAAGGCGGTTGGAACAAGTGGCTAGTTGAAAGGGTACGGACTTTAAGTATTTTGTCTTTTTTAGTTGAATTTTAGGAGCTATATTCATTGATGTATAGTTTAAATAATAATATTTTTTTACTGTAAAAAAAGAAAGCTTCATAATGGCCGTGTAAATTTTTTTTATCTTCACTACTTTTGGTGAAATTTATTGATTAAATTAACTATTTTTTTTATATATATAATTTTATAATTTATGCCTTCAACATTGTAGTAGTTTACATAGCCATGGTGCCTGTTCAACTTCTAAAGGAGGCTAACATAAAAATAGAATAATGTAACACGAACTGAAAGTTGTGTTACATTATTTATTAATTTTTTTTGTATTTATCTATTAAAATCTAATTCTAACCATTTATTTATTCATTAAAAAGTTAGATATATAAACATTCAATAATGTAATATAGGACGAGAAAAAAAAATCAGTGATTTAATTTTTTTTTGAAATGTGGGTCAAATGATATATTCGCTTATTTCATTCATTAATATTTGTTAGAAATTAGATATGCATTTTTGTGTGTGTGTGAATATAGCATTCGGTTCAGGTCTTTGAACATATTTACACAAAAACATTACGTGATATATTAAGGTAGAAGCTACTTATAAGCTAAAGCTATAAAAAAGAGCTTAAAAAAAGAAGTTAAAAGCAGTTTGGAAATTACATAAAAGTTTTAACTTAAAAATTACTTAAAAGCACATATTTTAAGAAAGTTATCTCTCTCTATCTTTATCACTCTTCATTTTAAAAAAGAAGCACACAATTCAAGAAAAACAGATAAGAGCTTATAAAAATGCTCCTGCTAAGAGCTTTTAGTTTTCAGTTTTTTTTTTTCATTATAAAAAAAAGAGCTTTTCATTATAAGAGCTTTTCCCAAAACCTGTTTGGCCTAGCTTATGCTTATAAGTAGCTTCTAGCTTAAAAAAAGAGATGATGCTAAATAGTCTTTGATAAACAATGCATGGTCAAATACAAAAAAAAAATTAAAAAAAAATGCATGGTTTTTGTAGTCTCCTATTGATTAAACTTTGTGAATTAGATATGTCAATTTCTGCTGAGTTCATGTCTTGTATGGGAATATTGTGTTTGTGGCAGTGCTTCGGCATTCTTTGTGACTCAGACATTACGAGCCCTGGCAAGGGATGGACGAACTGTGATAGCTTCTATTCATCAGCCTAGCAGTGAAGTGTTCGAACTATTTGACCAATTGTACTTGCTTTCAGGTGGCAAAACTGTTTATTTTGGCCACGCTTCCGAAGCATACGAGGCAATAAGCGCATTATCCACTTCTTCCTCTTCTCTAATTTCCTTAAATGTGTGCTATGCTATGATTATGAAGAAATGCAACTTTATGATAATTATAAGTTCAATTATGCAGTTCTTTGCACAAGCTGGATTTCCATGCCCTGCTTTGAGGAACCCATCAGATCATTTCCTTAGGTGCATCAATCGTGACTTTGACAAAGTCAAGGCCACTCTTAAAGGGTCCACCAAACTGAGGGTATTAATTAACATTTTCTTCTTTATTACTAGAGCTGGAATTTACTTTTTAAGAGTACAAATGAGTTTTATTTGAGAAAAGGTTGTGCTTACTTCTCATAGGGTGATGTGAATACAAATTCCAAAATCTGTTTTTTGATAAAAAAAAAATTTGGCACATTATTTTTGTTAATTAATTACATTGTGGCATACATTTTTTTCATTTTTCTATTTCGTGAATTTGCTAATACTTCTTGAATCTCTCAGTTTGAGGGAAGTGACGATCCCCTTGACAAGATCACTACTGCTGAAGCTACCAGAACTCTTATTGACTACTATCGAACTTCTCTGCATTCTTATGCTGCAACACAAAAAGTGGATGAGATATCCAACGTAGTAAGTTCTTTTGTTGTAATTATTTGCTTATTAAAATCACCAAATTTAGCAATGATGTCATTCATCATCCTTGCTGTTTCCTGGAGTCAATTCTCTAGTATTGGATCTTGTAACCCTGACAGTTGAATATATTCATTCTCACACGCTGCAGAAGGGAACCGTGCTTGAAGCAGGAGGAAGTCAGGCTAGTTTCTTGATGCAGTCTTACACCTTAACCAAACGCTCATTCACCAACATGTCAAGGGATTTTGGTTACTACTGGCTTAGGCTTGTAATCTATATTGTAGTCACCATCTGCATTGGAACCATTTATTTTAACGTGGGGACGGGCTACACCTCAATTCTGGTACTTCCATTTATTATTTGAGAGCAGTTCCCAAGTTTGCTTCCAGTAAAATCAATTCATATAACTCATGGAAAATGGTCTTGATCACTCTGGCAATAAACTTTTGTATGTGTTTTGTTTCTTGCTGTGGCATAGGCTAGGGGATCGTGTGCATCTTTTGTCTTCGGTTTTGTCACCTTCATGTCAATTGGTGGATTCCCTTCATTTGTTGAAGACATGAAGGTAATTTTTTTTCTCCCTTATGCAACTTTTGGCCATCATTATCATACTTATATAATGCCATAATCTGATTATCTCTATTAATGGCAGGTTTTCCAAAGAGAGAGGCTTAATGGCCATTATGGGGTCACCGCATTTGTCATAAGCAACACATTATCTGCAACGCCCTTCCTAATATTGATAACTTTTCTCTCTGGAACTATCTGTTACTTCATGGTTCGCTTGCATCCTGGCTTTTGGCATTACCTGTTCTTTGTCTTGTGCCTTTATGCCAGCGTTACAGTGGTTGAAAGCTTAATGATGGCCATTGCCAGCATTGTCCCCAACTTCCTCATGGGTATCATAATTGGAGCTGGGATTCAGGTATTCACCTATATTCATCCAAATCAATGCTCTCTTTTATTTAACTCCAAAATTCAACCATTTTGCATTAAATCTACTAAATAACTGGAATAATTGTTAGCAATGTTGCATGTGTAGTCAGAACTCTAAGCTATGACTAGATCATAATTTACTAATAAATTTTTTTGGGGGGTGTTTTCCAAATATCAGGGCATATTCATGTTGGTCTCTGGCTTCTTTAGGCTCCCACATGATATCCCAAAGCCAGTTTGGCGCTACCCAATGTCATATATCAGTTTCCACTTCTGGGCATTACAGGTATAGACACTATAATCAATTGTTGAATGGCATGTGCTGCTGCCACTGTGGTCCATTTTGATGATGAAAAACAATGAATTTGTTTCAGGGACAATACCAGAATGATCTGAGGGGCTTGCTATTTGACAACCAGACACCAGACCTTCCTAAGATACCTGGTGAATACATCCTGGAGTATATCTTCCAGATTGATGTGAACCGATCAAAGTGGATAAATTTATGTGTAATCTTAAGCATGATTATCATCTACCGCATTATCTTCTTCATTGTGATCAAAATCAATGAAGATGTTACACCGTGGGTTAGAGGTTATATTGCTAGGAGAAGAATGCAACACAAGAGTGGAACCCAGAATACAACTATTGCTCCTGATGTTCTCACTCAGTCCCCATCGCTGACAACCTACGTCTCGAGTCAAACAACTGGGGTTGCTCACAAAAGATAGAGCAGACAAGATTTGTTCTCAAGTTTGAATGAACAACGAAACTTTCACTAGTTGAGATAGGAATAGCTTTCATAATTATTTTATTATAAGTTGTCTTTGTCTTTAGCAATGTTGACATCCTCTAAGCTTCTCCAGAAATGAAATTCTAACGCTTATCATAGGTCATGAAAGTCATCTGCTTGTAATTTTTTGCAACCGAATGCCTCTGAAACCTTTGTAGCAGAATTGAAGCGTACATTATTACATTTGCTTGGTGATGATATTAATAAATAACTAATTCATTAATATTCTAGTACAACTGTACAAGTCAATTATAAATGTTGATAATAAATAATTAAGTCATTAATATTAAAAAATGAGATTAAGTTTGGAGCCAACCCGCAAAGCTCGATATTTGACTCTAACTTATAGGACTTTTTTGTACCTCCTATAATTTAGTGGGTTAGATTAGGGCTGACTTTCGGGTCAAATTTTATTTCTTTATCAAAAATTTTATTATTTAAAAATATAAAAAATATATAGATTTAAATACTTTTACATATAAAATAAATTATAACATATATAATATAAGTAAAAATAAAATTTTCAGCACTGATATGTTTTAACAAAGAATTTTATCTGCACATCAATAAAAATGAATTTTCTATTGACCGTTTAAGTACGTTGTATATCCAAATTTACACTAAAACATAATAAAAAAGATTTATTTGTTAAAAAAATATTTAATGTAATATATATGATAAAAAAATGAAATTTTATAAAATTATAATACTTTTGGATACTTTAAGGGGCGTTTGGTTGAAGAGAAATTTTATGAATAATAGGGAAATGATATTGATAGGGAAATGGTAGAAAATGATAGGAAAATGAATTTAGTAGGAAAATATAAAAAAAAGTTATTTGGTTGAAAAAAATTTAACTGAGAAAATATAAAGTTTATGTGTAGTCGTAGGTAAAATATAGATAGGAAAAAAGTTTAAATCTACGAAAATATCCTTGTAAATTCGAATGTGTATCCCTGGCCATTATTTCAAACGTTCATATGTCTACATCTCCGTCTTCCTCCCTGTCTCTCTTTCAAATGCTGCGACCCTAAATCCAGCACGGTGAGCATTTGCTGTGAATGGGCAGTCAAGTTGGCAAAAAGAAACGCAAATACATTAGAGCGGTGCCGATTTGTGGACAGTAGAGATTGACAAGCAAGCCTCCACCATCAGTGGGTAAGGGTTGTTAAACTTGTCACTGCAAGCATAAACATGGTGTTCACTTTCATAATACCCATCAATACATTAGGGGGCATTCTGGACAAATTTTTCATGTTACTTTTTTCCTTTCCGGGCAACTGCGAAATACCACCTCAGATTTGGATATCTAAAACACTGTTTCCAATCCTATTTTTCATGCAAAATCGGATGACTGGGTATTCAATTGCCTAGGCATATTTTTGGTGAACCTTCTACCAAACGATGTCTTCTTCAATTCCCTATCTCAGTTGTCTGGGTATTTCAAATAAAAACTGCAACCAAACGCCCCCTAACTTTTAGAGCTTTTTGTTCGTGCGAGTCATTATTATTGAAGTCTATTAAACTCTACGAGTTTTTTGACCCTATCCATGTGGGCTAAGGTTTAATGAGATGATTTGACGCATTTTGACATCACTTAATGGAACTGGTTTATAATTATCTAGCTGTGGTAGCGATAAGCCACTTTCTATTTATTTATCCATATAAAAAAATTATAAAATTAATTGGCCTTATAAAGAGGATACGATTTATACGAATGACATTTGATTATAATGTACACGATTAATGACTCTATTAGATATGATTATATACATTTCGAAGTTAGTTTTAACATTTGTTTTAGGTTCTTCATTTCTGCTGACTGATGAAAAATTTTGCAGCAAATATATTATAGTAGGATACAGAGTCAGATTTTAAAATTAACAAAAAAAAATAAAGTGTTGCTGACTAATGTACACGATTAAGTGTTGCTGCAAATTTTCTGAACTGCAGTAACTGGAGAGCTATTAACGCCTTTTTTTTATACATATAAGTGATTTTGATATTTTAAAAAAAATACGCTTGTGTAATAAGCACAAAATTAAAATGAATTACCTAAAAAACGATTATGCTATATAAATATCAAAGGGAGATAAAAGAGGATAACAATTAATAAAGATTATTAAATTGCTCATTATTGTAAATGTGTACACCGATATCAATTAAATTTAGCGTAACAATAAGTACTTGTTTTTATTTATTTTTTCTAACGAAATCTTTCTTATTTTCATTTCTCGTACGCTGAATAATAAAAGTATAAAACACCTGATTTTCTTCACTTATAAATCAAGGAGTGAGGTTTATGTAGATTCATATAAAAAGAAAAATAAAATGAATTTGATCCGTATACATAACAGTATAGAAAATAAAATTATATAAAAAACACTAATCCCATCGATCAATTGCCAAAACATGCTTGAAATTTAACCTAACATTATAAACTTAAACTACAAGAAGTAAAGTAAATTTAGCCCTCACACGTAGCAGGAAAACATTGAGAAAGGATAATAGTAGTACGCGGCGCCGTTTTGGAAGTGAGGTGTCTGTGACTGTGAACCCTCTTCAAATCCCTGCTTCCTCGTTGAACAGAGTCTCCGTCGTCCCTGTTTGTCTGTTGGCCGCACGAACGATGTTTCGCAGGATCGGGTCCCATCGTACAGCCTTGGCGTGGACCCATAATGCATTCCGAGCTTCCTCCCAAGTTGTCTCCTCCGAAACGCGTATTCTCACGCGCCGCCACGCCCCAAATCGACTCCTCCCGTGCTTTCTAGGTACCGACCATCACGTTTGAATTCGACTATGCATTTACTCTATTTTTCTTTCGCTGATTTCTTATGCTGTTGGAGCAGGAACCCGAGAAGACCATGGATCAACCTCCTTTGCAAGGTTCATTTCTTCAAAAGCATCAAATGAACGGCGGAAAAGTACAGATAAGGTTATAATTTTTTGCGGTTAATCCAAATGTATGATTTTAATTAAGGAATAATGTGTTGGTATAGGTTCCGCTTGAAAATAATTTCCAATCTATTTTTTTTATATACTTCATCCTTTTTTTAACTGTTTTGGATGTGGCCATTCACTGTGAGGTTTCATGTTGCATTGTGCTTTTGTCAGTGCCATTTGATACAAGAGTAGCCCAATTAATCCTAGAAAAGAGGATTTTTCAAAAAATAAAAAATAAAAAAATTCTTAACATTTCTCCAGTACCCATAGAATGTATGTGTTCTATACCTTTCACTTTGGTGCAATTCACAATTAAGTTAAGTATCTTAATACTTTTATTTTCCATTTGTTTTGTAGACCAGAAAGGACATAACAAATGTTGAGGATCCCTTTGATGCTCCGACATATAATATTCCGGAGAAGCCAGTAACATTTGTGGAGGGGGCATCCTACAGTGTCATCATTCTTGCAGGGCTTGGAGTTGCAGTTGCTGCGGGATATGCTGTTTTCAAGGAGCTTATATTTCAACCCAAGGAGTAAATACTTTTATTTTCTTGCTCAATTTATATTATCTAAAAGGAAAATGCTAGATAGCTAGAACTTTTGACTGAATGAGTTGGCATGCTTATTGGTTATTGACTTTTGGATTGATGACTGGTCCTTATCCCCTTATTTTATCCCACGACCACCCTTGATTTTTATTTTTATTATTATTATTATTTTTTGGAGAGAGAGAGAGAGAGAGGGGGGGGGGGGGGGGGTGTAGAACTGTTCTTTTTAAAAAATGTCATGATTCATTGTTTTAAGCTTTTCTTTTTCTTTGGTTTTACTCTTATTGTTATAAGCTGGTAACAGGTACAAGATCTATAGCAAGGCTCTCAAAAGAATTCAAGATGATGGTCAGGTGAGTGATGTTTTACTTTCATATAAACTTTACTGAACACACAAAGAACCAAAATAAAGCATTTCCATGCAAAGGAACTTAGGCATTTGAAAGGTTCAGGCTTACATCCTCAAGTGTGTATTGGTTGGACATCAAATGAAGCTGGTCATTCTGGGGATTTCCATTTGTAGGGAGAAGCTATAAAAGACAATTGAAATTGGGAGATGGAATGGTTTTCAAACAAATCTTGACAGTATTTAATGTCTATCTTCTATGTTTTAGGTTTGTTATTAAGCTAAAGCTCAATGCTCTGTCACTTGAGTGAAAATAACAGATGATTTGAAGACTTGTGCCTTGTAATATCTAACAAATAATCATGGGGACAACTATCTATCTAGTCAGTTATTTTGGATCCTTTCGATATATAGCTAGGCGCAGTTGTCATTAAATAGGTGGTTGGAATTGGGTGAAGGGGTCTTATATCCTAAAGTTACCAAGGTTCTGTATTCAATTTGAGCACTTCACATTAAATTATAAGGTGTGAACCTTTATATGCTTCATTGGAGACAATGGTTCCTGCTACATTTTTTAGAATGTAAATGAAGGGGGAGAGAGTTTATGAATCTTTTTATCTCGTTTTAATTATTGCAAATACCAAATTCTATCCAGAAAAAATGCACACGCCAAAGCGCTAAATCAATCAATGATTTGTAAGTTAATTTTTTATGATGAATAGTAGCTGATTCTCTTCTTGCATGCTCATTTTATGTCTGCTTGCACTGGACTTACTTTGCACCAGGTCAGAGTGAGGATTGGATCCCCAATAACAGGTTATGGCCAGGAGAGTAGAAATCGTGCTGCCCGCCAAAGAATTCCGAACAGGGTATGGACTGATGAAGATGGTGCTGAGCACGTAGAGGTAAATTTAAATAAGTATTTCGTCAAATTTATATGCAGATGCATACACATTCTATAAGAACTATTTTCTTACGCTCCTGGGGTAAAAAAACTCCTTAAAAAAAGAAATGTGTAGAGATAAAGATGAAAAAAGAAAGGAAAGAAAAGAGGCGAGGTATGGTAGAACTTCACTCAGTTCACTGGATATATTGCTGTATTAATTCTCTGTGATTTTGAAATTCTTAAAATTTCTTTTATGGTGGAAGATACTTATTGTTTAGCAGCTCTGTCATTTCTATTGATAATATGATTCAGGCTCAAATATGTCCATTTGGGTTACAGGTTAATTTCTATATCCGGGGGCCCCATGGACATGGAAAAGTATTCTGTGAGATGTTCAAAGGTCCAGCTGACAATGAATGGAAGTTCACATACTTGATTGTTGAGATTAGAGCACCTTCCCCAGCACAATTAATTCTGGAATCATATATTCCAGCTTACAATGCAAACAAGTAGCTAGATGAGAAAAGGTTTCGTTCTGCACCATTGTGTGATTACTCAGTCTGTAGATACTAGATAGTTATCTGTGTTTCTGCTTGATATTGTGGTTGTTCACAACACAAATTGTAGGCGATAAGACTGCTGCACTATGCTTCCCAGCTCCCCCAGCCTTGGATAAGAAAAGGATAGAGTTTATATATATACACACACACAAACACACACACAGACACACACCCTGCACACAGTTCATTTCCTTAATGAATGGCCCAAATATCTCACTTAAGCTCTTGCTTACATTGGCTTGTTTATGAATATTGGGTTATTGGCACTGGTCAATGCTTTTGTGTGTTTTGGCTGTGTAATATCTCATACATGTCAACCTTGCAAAATATACTCTTAATTTGTTTTTGCCAGAAGGAAAGTTTCCTGTCACCTTTTGCTGTTTTAGTCCAATTCATATTTTGATGTATACAAAGAGAATTTTCTTAAGAATTCTAATTGCATAGTAAAATACGCAGGTTTTTGATATTTGGTCTATTACTGGAGGCTGCATTTTTTCAGCGGTCAGCATTGACCATCTTAGCCAGTCCATGTTCCGTGAGGGACTGAAAGTTTGAAAGAAGGAAAGACCATTAAAGAAGTTTAAAATAATATGAGAAACTGGATCCCAAATCTCAAATCTCAGGTTCAGTATTTTTTTTCTTTTCATTTTGGACCTGCAGATGAGGAACAGTTTTGGGCAAGGATCTTAGTAACGATGACCAAAGAGATTACTTTGTCCTTGATAGCAATTGAGAATGCCATCTATTTCCAATTTGTTTTTCCGGTCGATTCCACATAGCTTGGTTTGTGAAGTACATTGAGTAGCTCGAAGTAGCATGCTAAATTTTTAAGGATGAATATAAGATTTGATGTTCCTTGTTACCGCAGAGATACTAAGAATGTTAGACTAATTCCACCTAAATTTGACACACCAACAAGAATCAATATGTGCTATAATACTAATTGGCAAATTAATGCATCTATTTGTGAGCTTGCTCTGCATCACTTACTGAAATGATTAGTTTACTTGTTTTGTGGACGCTCTTGATTTTCGAGATGATTGGGTGAACGTTTGTGTAATCGTTAGGCAGAACTCAAATGTCGCATGAACTTCAATTCAGAAATCATAGAAGTTAGCTAGTTAAAAGATTATATATATCAGAATCAAGAAAGTAGAGTTGAATAACATTTTCATTTGTTAAGTTTTCCTTTGCATGCTTTAGGCTATTTTCCCTGGCAGTGCTGTTCACCCTTCTCTGTCAGTCATGACTCCTGACCCCGAGATGTAGATATTTCAAACATCGAATTGTAGGAGTATTATTGTGAGTGATGTTAGCATCACAGCCCCCCCCACCCTTAGTTGTGAACGAATAACGACGTAGGCATGTCACTCTTAGTTGTGAACGAATCAGTAGTTCATTTCTAATGATATATGTCATTAGCTAGTTAGAATCAAAGTCATGTTATTTAATATAATAGTTTATAGCAGAGTATGGCTTGAGTATTGTTTAAATAACTACATTCTTTTACTATGCTGAAACTGGGGTTTCAATCACACGAGCTCATTTTCGGTACAATAGGAGTACTTATTCCTTCGCTTAAAAGGAAAAATGGGTGAAAATGATCATAAAAGTAATGGTGGTATAATAATTTTACTGAATTTATTCCAATCACGCACCCCACATGTAAATTCTCCAATTCACTAGTCACTATTCCAATTCTAGTGCTTTTTATTTTCCTATTCTTTTTGGTCTTAAAAAAAATAAACTTCGATAGCACTTCACTTTGAATTGCTATAGCCCTAAGGTGCTGTTTGGTTCAGTGTTTCTTGGAAGATGTCTATGCAAATGAAATTGGCAAAGTAAGACACCCATGTTTGGTAGACACTTTTGAGAAATTTTCTCATCTATTATATTTGCATAGCATTCAACATTTGGTGGTAGAAAGCAAGCTTTTGTCACTTTTAAGAAAGGCTGGAAGTGATGTTTCATGGTTAGCCATCTAAATGGCAAAAGGGCAATCCAAATCAGACCATAATATCCTCATATAAAGCGCAAAGAAAGAAACAAAGAAAGATATGGTCAGCAGGCGCCCGTTGAGTGTAACTTCTCTCTCATCACAAATATAGAACCAATTTGATATTTGTAGCTGAATGTCTCTGATAACATCGAATTTTTTGCATACAATTACCAGATGGAGGTTCCGTGCAAACTCATGCATGTATCATGTATCTGTCATGCTTCAGGAAGCACACATTGTAAATATAGAATGTTGTACGTCAACTAATAAAAAACTCTATGCTTCAGTAAGCACACAATTTGATATATGTTCTGTTCATGAACCAATTACTCCTAATTTGTTGAATACATTACACCAAGTTCCATTTAATCATAAAATAGACGATGGGTTTACTTGTATTAATATTAAAAAATTAATAAGGGGTTACTTTTGTAGTTTTATATCATTTACTCATTAATATTTATCCTCAATCAAACATAGATTTCAAAAACTTTAATCAAGTTGTATGTTAATATTTTGCCCAACCAAACAAGTTTTTTTTAACTTTCCTATCTAACTCACTTTCCATGCAGATCCCTGGTAATGTGGTTTTGATTTTCCTGGTATAAAATTTTTTCACCTGTACCAAACACGCGTAATGTGGTTTTGATTTTCCCAACGGTCATGTTTCGTAAAAATGGCATGCCAGATGATTATAAGCACCGTCGAACTGTAAGATTTATAAGATCAAAGCATTGTTACACAATTTTCCTCCTTTTACAGGAACAACAACAATCAACTGCAACTCCTACAACACTATTCTTTTACGACTTTATTTTTTACTACAAAAATAAGTACATACTTATCATAAAGCATCAATACATATGATCAATAGACCTCAGTTACAGATCAAATGTGCTGCTCCACTCAATATCCAATTAACTTGTGTCGAGGCATTCTCCATTGAGCAATGAGAAACACTCTTCTATCTCCTTCTACAGCTGCAAAATTTCATACAACAGATATATGAATAGTAGGGTATTATCTTATCATATAAAGGCGCAATAGCTAAACCTCAGTAAAACTGCACACATGGAAAAGATTTCCCAATTTGCAAATTAAATCCATTCCTACAATTGCAAATTACATACATATAGAGAATACCAATTCAAAATCACAAGCCACAGATTCACAACCTCTTTCAAAACCAAAAGAATGTGTAGAAAATAATGTTACAATCATTGCAAGAGAAAAAGCAAAAGAACTAAGCATAATTCATAGATACAAGAAACTAGTATTCTCATCTTTTATTCCATACAACCATGGCGATCATTGTCTTCAATCACTGACAAAAAGACTATGTAAAATATCTTGATTCCATTGTTATGGTTTCTGACTGAATTAATAATGTTCAAAACGATACTAATCTACTGAGACTTTTAGGCCTAAGAATATTTCATTGAGCAATGAGAAAAAGAAAGCATATAAAAAATCTTATTTCATGTTACCTGTAGAGATCTGGACAAGGTGTGTATTCATTTTATTTTAGTGAAGAAGATTGAAGCTCAACATTCACCCCTTCCTGTCCACGCAATGGTCGAAAAGGAGAACCGTTTAAAGTGAAAGAACTTAGATTAGGTGTAGATATTTCAAATTTGTAACCTGGATTATGAGTATCATTGACGGTCAAATTGGCAAGTGTAGTGTTGGTTATATTGAGGATTCCTGGCATTCTCAAGATGTGAGAGTTATGAGGGACTAATTCAAATTGGTCAATGAACAAAGTGTTTAATTTGGTACAGATGGAGAAGGGTTCAGCATAACCATTGTTATCAACAGAAATCCCAACATTCACAAGATGCAAACTTACTAATGCTGGGAGCTTGAGAGTCTTAGGGATTCTTGTTCTTCTTTTGTCATCGTAACATGAAACTGAAATATGAAGGGACACTAAAGACTGACAAGAAAAGACACACCAATCCAAACCAACATTATACGGGACATAGATCTTCAAATGTTGGATATTATGTAACACGGCATAATTCATGAGACTGGTCAGAATACGATGTGGAAAATAACCATGGCGATCAAAGTTGAGATCATGCAAGGGATGATTGCCATCACGGCACGACACAATCCCAGACACAAAATCAGAGAAAAGAGAAGGCTTTCCAAAGTCCGAGGTATGTAGTGTAAGATTAGGGATGGATTTCCAGATATCCTTCCACCGTCTTGACAAGATACAAGTCTGAACAGCATCTATTATCTTCATAAATGACAGTATATGAAGCAGAATTGAGTTAGGCAAGTTACTAATCCTGTCATTTTCACTGATAATAAAATTCTTCCTCCTGCTCTGCCTCCGCGTCATCATTTTCCCTATTTTTTTTAAAAGTAATATCAAAGATACAAATTCAGATACGATATGCAAGTTCCAGGCTCAATAAATTTCTTACAGATTCAGAACTATACATAAAAAAAGAAGAAACAGAGGCTGAAAAACTCAAGATTTAGCTAAGGCATCTCTCAGTTGTAAATGCAGATTCAGTTCATTTTTATACTTTCTTAGACGTGTGGGCCAAAAACTAGAAAATGGTGTCTCTTGACTATGCCCAATTGATAAAGTTGAAAGGGTGCGAACAACTATCAAAAGGAAAATTCTAGTTCATGCAATGAGAAACAAAAAATTACTTGAATGGAACATCTACGAAAGAGGAAAAGAAAATTCAAGGAATGAAAATACCTTGTAACTTCAACCGATTCTCAACTCTCCCTCCTAAGACAGTCTCTCTTAAGCTCATTTTTCTCTAGCATTGAACTGGAACGAATATATAACGAATGCATGCCGAATCTTAGGCCGAAGAAGTGGAATGGAGAGTGTTACTTTCTCATTTCCAGCTTCCGCTTCTTTGTCAACAAGTGAATGTGATGTAAGATAAAACGTTAGACTGGCGTGAAAGTTGCAAGAATTTCAAACTCAGGAACTTGTCGGAACTTGTAAGTGCTTGCTGCCGTTTTCTTTTCTTTACTGTATGAATATTTTTAAACAATTTCTGTATGCATGGAAGACAAGTGTGGCAGCTATAATGTTCAATTTGTCACACTAGTTTCAAAAATCATTATTATTTTTTTTAAAAATTTATCCAGTCTTTTACTATCTTAAAAACCGTTTAATTGTGCGCTTTGACTTGGAAATCTAAGCTTCATAGCCTTTATACCCTTCTAATGTGAAATCTAACACCTAATATTAGTTTAATTCTTTTGATAAATTATTTACCACTCTAATATAAATGAAAGATGCATAAAATCTAAAAAGTGTCCGGTGCATGAATTGTGCGAAAGTCAAAAACGCACTTGTGCTATGCAAGACACGCATAGAATGTATGTGTAACTTGAATATGTATGATCATGATACATGTCTTGTATTGCATTGATTTTTACACAAGTCACAAATAGAGATATGCACGACTTAAACGCGTACCCTCCTTGTGTGCGTTTTACATATATTATATTAAAAAATAATTTACCAAAAAAAATTATATAATGATGTATCTGTTTTTTTGCATAATAAGGTCAAAAAGCCTAGCTTCCTATGCTGACTAGTTTTATCTAAGAGCCAAATATGTTCATGGATGGGTTAGACTCACTTTGAAATTGAAATTAACCCCTTCGATTAGATTTATTTAGGAATTTGAGTCAAACTAGATAGAACCCTCAAAATTTCTCAAGTATATAATATTAGATCATTTTAAAAAAAGTAATTCACCTAATTGGATTTATTTAACTAAATTTCATTAATATTATGAGTTCCACAAATTTTTAATTTTATTAAAGGAAAGATTTATTAAAATCCTACCTTGGTTTTTTCAATTTCACTTTGTTAGAGTTGTTGTTATTTCCTTTTAGTTGCATTTTGTATTTTGTTATTTCTTGTTTTGATATTTATTTTTGGGAATCTTTTCATTTTTTTTTTTAATTTTTTAGCTGGAGTCATAAGAAAATTGGAAGATTGAAAAATTCGATCCGATTTACAAGGTGTAAATTTGAGCCCAATTGACCTATTTCTTCATCCTATTTTATATATGAGAAATATAATTGTAATGTTATGGGAAGAGAAACAGTATTTCCTGCACTAACATCGATTGCCGTGTTTAATTTTTTTTTTTTTTTTAAATTTATGGTCCCATCTAAAACTGTGTCAGCAGGAACTTGATCCTGTTCATGATATTCGCACCTCGCTTTATATAATTCATGAGATTGCATGATGAGGATTTTACAACCCTAACTTATACAGTCCACCAATTACAAATTTTATTTCTTCATCTAATTTAATAACTAAAAAAATCTTAAACCCAAATTGTATACCAAATATTCTGCCCCCCCTCTTTATCCAAATTTTATCTTCTCTATGCTTTCATTCTCCTATCACTACCAAATGGCAACAGAGTCCATCTGTTGCTTATAGCTTCAAAATAAATTGTGTCCTCTATACCATTCATACATGAATTTTCAACAACAAACATGACATAATCATTCACCCAAATTTATCTTCTTCTTTTTTTAATTAAAAATAAAAAACTAAAAAAAATTACAATAGCTTTCATAATTTATGAGGACTCCAGAAAATAAAATAAACTGAGAAAATGGAGGAAAGAAAATAAGCCAGGTTTTGGAAGCCAAGTTAATCACCTCAATGACATCGTGGTGCACAATCTTCGTGTAATGGTGGATTCTGTGCTATCTTATCTGGACAGTCGTCACTGTGCAAGTGTGTGTTCAGCTATGCTGTTACCATCATGTTGTAATTATAGCAAATTGCAGAATGCTTGCACTATGCTTCCCAACTCCCCCAGCCTTGGAAAAGAAAAGGATAGAACAAATAAAGAAAATGAAACAAAAGTGAAGGAGTTGCAGAGCTTCTAATTCTGTTCTGCTTTTGTGCGTTTTGGCTGTGTATTATCTCAATCATGTCAACCTTGTAAACTATACTATAATTTGTTTTTGTTAGAAGGAAATATTCCTTTCATCTTTTGGTGTTTTAGTCCAATTCATATATTTTGATGTACCTAAATAGAAGTTGAAGAATCATAAGAACTCTAATTGCATTGTAAAATATGCAGGTTTCTGATATTTGGTCTATCCGGTGGCTGCAATTTTTCATCCATCACATCAGCATTGACCATTTAGCCAGTCCATTTTCCATGAGGGACTGAAAGTTGAAAGACAATTAAAGAAGTAACAAATAATAGGAGAAACTAATCCCAAATCTCAGGTTCAGTACTTTTTTTTTCTTCCTTTCACTAAGAACCTGCAGATATCAGGAAAATTTTTGGGCAAGAACGATGACCAAAGCCATTACTTTATCCTTGATAGCAATTGAGAATATAATCCATTTTTTTTTTGGATATTAAAAGGAAAGAATATAATCCATTTCTAATTTGTTGTAGCTGACAATTCCATATAGCTTGGTTTGAGAAGTACATTGAGTAGTTCGAAGTAGCATGGAATATATGAGGTGATTGTAGCCAAAACAAAAATTTATTTGAATCATATAAGATTGATGTTCATTGTTACTGCAGAGATACTAAGAAAGTTACACTAATTCAAACTATTTTGCCTCACCATCTAGAATCAATTTGTTAGCTTGCTCAGCATTACTTGCTAAAATGGTTGGTTCACTTTATTTGTGGACGCATTTGATTTAAGAGACGATCAGGTGCAAGCTTGCGTAATCATTAAGCAGAAGTCACATTTCACGTGAATTTTAATTTTGGAAATCATAGAAGTTAGGTAGTTGAATTATTATATATATCAGAATCAAGAAAATAAGTTAGTAGAGTTGAATAACATCTTCATTTTAAGTTTTGCTTTGCATGCTCTTGGCTATTTTCCTTGGCAATGCAGTTCCCCTTCCGTCAATCCTGACGCCAGATGTAAATATTTCTAACATCGAATTGTAGGGGTATTATTATGAGTAATGTTACCAACACAACTCCCATTTTTTTTTTCTTTAACAAGTAAGGACTCAGGCATGTCACTCTTAGTTGTGAACAAATCAGTAGTTCATTATTCATGATATTTGTTAATAGCTAGTTAGAATCGAAGTCATAGTAATTATGTTATTTAATATAAAAGTTTGTAGCAGAGCATGGCATGAATGTACTAGTTTGTTTAAATAACTTCAATTTTTTTCCGATGTTCATATTGAGGTTTCAATCATACGTTCCAGTGTTTTTGTTTTTGTTTTTAAAAAAATAAACTTCAATAGCAATTCAGTTCCCCATGAGTTGCTGTAGCCCTAAGGTGGTTTTGACTTGCCCAACTATTATATTTCGTAAAAAAGGCATCCCAGATGATTATAAGCACCGTTGAGCTACAAGATTTATAAGATGAAAGTACATTTACACAATTTATCTTTCTTGAGAAGATTGAAGTGTTGAAACCAATCTTCACCAACCAATTTAGTCCTCCAAGTGTACGTTCACTAAAGCGAATATTTGCTCTAGAAATCACACTAGTGATATCGATATAGCAAGCGCGAATGTGGGAGACATTTTTAGATCTTTCTAGACCTATAAACTCCGTTTAAGGGCTTTGAAATAGTGAAAGCAATGTTGGTGGTTGTAGAAATCCCAATTTTGTACGTGGTATTTAAAAATGATGCATACGGCTGAATTAAGAACCAAAATTATAACTTTATTTTTTACTAGAATTGTCATTAAGTATCAATACACATGATCAATAGACCTCAGTTACAGATCAAATGCACCGCTCCACTCAATTTCCAATCAACTAGTTTGGGGGAGTTCTCCATTGAGCAATAAAAAACACTCCCCTGTCACATTCAACAGCTGCAGAATTTCATACAACAAATATATGAATGCTGGGTATGATCTAATTATATATAGTTACAATAGCTAACCCTAAGTAAAACTGCACACACGGAAAAGATTTCCCAATTTGCAAATTAAACCCATTCCAACATTCAATTATTGCACTCGCTGGTAAATTACCTACTTATAGGGAATTACCAATTCAAAATCACAAGCCGAAGATTCACAACCTCTTTCAAAACCAAAAAGAATAAATGTAAACAATAATGTTACAATCATTGCAAGAGAAAAAGCAAAAGACCTAACTAAGCATATTTCATTGAGCAATGAGAGAAAGAAAGCACATAAAAAATCTTACTCGGTGTTACCTGAAGAGATATGGACATGATCAGTGTATCCATTTTATATTAGGGAGGAAGATTGAAGCTCAACATTCACCTTTTCCTATTCGTCCAATGTTTGAAAAGGAGAACCGTTTAAAGTGAAAGAACTTAGATTTGGTGTAGATATCACATATTTGCAAGGCAAACTATGAGTATCATTGACGGTCAAATTGGCAAGTTTAACATTGGTTATATTGAGGATTCCTGGCATTCTCAATATGTGAGAGTTAGGAGGAACTAAGGAAAATTTATCAATGAATAAAGTGTTTAATTTTGTACAGGTGGAGAAGGGTTCAGCATAACCATTGTCATCAGCAGAAATCGGAACATTGGCAAGTTGCAAACTTACTAATGATGGAAGCTTGAGAGACTTAGGGATTCTGGTTCTTCTTGTTACATCATAACTTGCATCTGTAATATGAAGAGACTTTAAAGTTTGACAAGAAAAGACACACCAAGGCAAACTTATATTACAAGGGACATAGATTTTCAAGTGCTGGATATCATGTAACACAGCATATCTCATGAGATTTGTCAGAATCTGAGGTTTAAAATAACCATGGCGATCAAAATCAAGATTATGGAGGGGATTGTTGCCATCACGGCTTGACACAATCCCAGACACAAATTCAGAGAAAAGAGAAGGCTTGCTAAAGTCTGAGGTATGCAATGTAAGATTAGGGGGGGATTTCAGAGATCCTTCCACCGTTTTGACAAAATGCAAGTTTGAATAGAAACTTTTATCATCATAAATGACATTATATGTAGCAGAACTGCATCAGGTAAGTCACTGAGCCTGTCTTTATCACCGGTGCTCTTCATCTTCTGATTCTTCTGCATCATCATGTTCACTGTATTTTTTTTTCCAAAGGAAGATCAAATTACAAATTCAGTTAGGATATGCAAGTCATGTACTCAGTAAATTTCTTATTGATACAATTAATATACAAGTAAAGAGAGAAAGAAGCCATGGCAGAAAAAACAAAGGGCTGTTTGTCATGGGAGAAATTTTTTTTTACTAAGGAAATAAAATTAGTAGGAATATAGTGGAAAAATAATTTTGGTAGGAAAATTTAAAAAAAGTTGTTTTGTTCGTCAAAAGTTTACCGGAAAAATTGGGTTAAATTTTTTGAGTGTATGTTTGGTTGAAGATAGAATATTAATGGAAAAATTGTTTGAAAATACTAAAATACATTTTTTTTACTGTTTTTAAAAGTGAGTTACCATTGTGTGTACATAGTGCATTGTGAGATGGGTAATTGTGTCATTATATTTGTATTGTATCACTTTAATAACTTCTCCTGTTTTTTTGAATGAATACCACCTTCCCAATTGCTTTCTTCAACAGTGATTTTGTTGCTTGTTAACATACAAACCGGTTTGGGTTTGCCTAGTGAACTGTCATTGATGGGTAACAAACATGAAATAAGTGAACCAAACTTTAATAGGAAACAATGGCAAACTCCTGAACCAAACACCACCCAAAAGCTATCAAAGTCATCTCATTTTAGGGATTTGAAAAACTAGAAAAGCGATAACTTGTTGTTCATGCCAAATTGCTAATTTCGAAAGGATGCATAAGTTATCGAAGGAAGGTTCTAATTCATGCAAAGGAAAACAAATTCGAAAATTGGAAATACCTTTGTGAATTCAACAGATGCGCGACACCGATCGAGTCTCTCCTATGTTCTCCATTGTTTATTATATTTTTTATTTGTCTCGTAATCTTTGAGAATCTTTAAAAATTTTAAAATATTAAATATATCATAAAATCGACAATTTGAATGGGATCTTATAAATTAAAAACGAAATCAAAAAATTAATCCATTTGATTATTTTTTTTGCAAAGTAGGAAAGAAAAAGAAAGATTGACAATTATATTATCATTATTGATAATAAAATTGATATTTTTTAATTTATAGAGATTTTGAAATATCTCCATATAAATAAGAATTGTTTACCTTTTTATTTTATATTTATTCTCACAACTCTATCCTCTCTATATAAACTTTATTAATTTGATAGCATAATTTTATTATTAAATTATAAATATATATTAATTTAATTAAATAATAATTGAAAACGTAAATGATTATATTTATATGGTGATATTTTGAAATACCTATAAATTAAAAATTGTCTTTAGTGAGAATATGACTGTATGGTTATTGCTTTTTCTTTTCTTTCCCTATTTGTAAAACAATAAATATAAAAAATCAATTGGAATGATTTTTTTGATTGAAAAAGGAAAAATCAACAGTTAAATTGTAATTATTAATAGGGTTTATCGTTTGTATATCACTCCACAATTACGTGATTTTGGGAGTTAGGGTAATTGATGAATGGTATTTTGATAAAATTTATATAGTAAATAAACAAACAAAAATATCAAAACACCCTTCATTAGTTTCGCTAACTCTTAAAAATGACGTAATTTTGGGGTGATATTACAAACAACAAACACTTATTAATAATAAATTTAATTTCTTTTTTAAATTTTCACTAAATCAAAAGATAATGCTAGAATAATTTATGATTTGAAATATTATTTAAATTAATGAATTTGATTGTATGATTACTGACTTTTCTTTTCTGCTTGAAAAAAAAATCAACTGGATTGGTTTTTTTAAACAAACAAGGAAAAAAATTAATAATTAAATTATCATTATCATTAATAAATTTAACTTTTTTTTGTTTGAATTTTCAAGGAATAAAAGATAACGCGAGAATCATTTATGATTTTAAATATTATTAGAGTTAATGATTTAATTGTGTGATTATTGACTTTTCTTTTCTTTCACTATACAAAAAAATAAAATTAATTGTTATCAAAAAAAAAAAAAAAAAAAAAAATTAATTGATTTTTTTTTTTTAAGGAGCAAGGAAAAAAATCAATAGTTTAATCGTGATTATTATATAGTAAATTTAATATTTTTATTTTATTTTTTAAGAAATAAAAAAAGTCAAGACTCAGTCATGATTTTAAATATTATCTAAATTAATGAATTTAACATTAATTTTTGTTTTAATGCTAATTGTCTGGCCTCTGCTCAGCATTTATGAGTAAATGGGGAATTTGGAATTTCTTGACTAAATCATTTATTTGATTAAATACCCCATTTGAATAAACTTACTGGTTTGTTTAAATAACTAGATTTTTTTACTATGCTGACACTGAGGTTTCAATCGCACACACCATACGTAAATTATCCAGCTCGCCAGTTACTAGTCATATTCTAGTCCTTTTTTCTTTCCCTTTTCTTTTTGCTCTTAAAAATAAAATAAAAAATAAACTTCAATAACCATTCACTTTCCCATCAGTTGCTGTAGGCCTAAGGTGGTTTACCCAACGGCCATATTTTGTAAAAGAGACAGGTTATATTTATAATTTTTTTTGTTTACAAATTATATTTTTTTTTCTTCGAAAAAATACTAATTTTACTATGTTCTTCCGAGAAAAAAGAATGTAATTTGTAAAATTTATCAAAAAAAATTGTAATATAAAAATTGCATGCCAGATGATTATAAGCTACGTCGAACAATAAGATTTATAAGATCAAAGCATTTTTACACATTTTTTCTCCATTTACAGGAACAGCTATGAATCAACTGCAACTCCTACAACGGTGTTATGAAACCCGGACTGACCCGGCTGGATTGATCCGGGAACCGGTAAATCGATCATATAACCAGTCCGGTTGAAGCAACAGATCGGTTATGTATCAGAACCAGTGTGACCCGGTCCGACCCGGCCGGTTTTCATGAAAACCGGTGACCCGATCGGTTAACCGGTGACTCGGCTCAGTCCCAAAACAAAAATCTAATTTTTTTTTTCAAAAAAAAATCATAATGGACATATTTGAATATTTTTTTTGCTTATTGACTTACATAAGTTATGTACCTACAACACTAATTTTATCTCAATTATGCACTATGCAGAAAAATTTGATTTGATTTATAGTTAGAGATGTCGTTTCTTTAACCTAAAGTCCTGTATCACGATCATTATATTTTTGCTTGATCTTTTATTGGATAATAATATGTCATTTATTATTTTTTATATTAAAATATTTGAAATTTTTATTATTTTTTTTAGATATTTGAGTATGTTTATAATTTTTTAATGTAAATTATAAAATTGTATATAATTATCAGATCATGCGGTTGAATCAATGACTCATTGATTAAATCAGTGACCCAGTACCTTGACCAGGTCAATGACCGGGTCGATTTTAATAATACAGGCTACAACACTATTCTTTTAAGACTTTATTTTTTACTGCAAAAATAAGTACATACTTGTCATTAAGTATCAATACACATGATCAATAGACCTCAGTTACTGATCAAATGCACTGCTCCAGTCAATATCCAACTATGTTGTTTCGGGGCATTCTTCGTTGAGCAATGAAAATTACTCTTCTGTCTCCTTCTACAGCTGCAGAATTTCATACAACAAATATATATTAACCGTAGGGTATTATCTTATCATATAAAAGCACAATAGCTAACTCAGTAAAACTGAACACATGGAAAAGATTTCGCAATTTGTAAATTAAATCCATTCTTACAATCAATTATTGCACTTGCTAGCATATTACATACTTAAAAGAGAATACTAATTCAAAATCAGAAGCCACAGATTCAAAACCAAAAGAATATCTGTGAAAAAATAAGGTTACAATCATTGCAAGAATAGTGTAAAAAAATTTTAGGCATGAGAATATTTCATCGAGCAATGAGGGAAAGAAAGCATATAAAAATCTTACTTCATGTTACCTGTAGAGATCTGGACAAGAGTGTATCGATTTTATATTAGTGAAGAAGATTGAAGCTCAACATTCACCCCTTCCTGTCCACGCAATGGTTGAAAAGGAGAACCGTTTAAAGTGAAAGAACTTAGATTGGGTGTAGATATCACAAATTTGTAACCTGGATTATAAGTAACATTGATGGTCAAATTGGCAAGTGTAGCATTGGTTATATTGAGGATTCCTGGCATTCTCAAGATGTGAGAGTTAGGAGGGACTAAGGCAAATTTATCAATGAATAAAGTGTTTAATTTGGTACAGGTGGAGAAGGGTTCAGCATAACCATTGTCATCAGCAAAAATCGGAACATTCGCTAGATGCAAACTTACTAATGCTGGAAGCTTCAGAGACTTAGGGATTCTGGTTCTTTTTTTTACATCATAACTTGCATCTGTAATATGAAGAGACTTTAAAGTTTGACAAGAAAAGACACACCAAGGCAAACTAATATTACATGGGACATAGATTTTCAAGTGCTGGATATCATGTAACACAGCATATCTAATGAGATTTGTCAGAATCTGAGGTTTAAAATAACCATGGCGATCAAAATCAAGATTATGGAGGGGATGGTTACCATCACGGCTTGACACAATCCCAGACACAAATTCAGAAAAAAGAGAAGGCTTTCTAAAGTCCGAGGTATGTAATGTAAGATTAGGGAGTGATTTCCAAAGATCCTTCCACCCTCTTGCCAAGATGCAAGTCTGAACAGCATCTTTTATCTTCATAAATGACATTATATGCAGCAGAATTGCATTAGGCAAGTCACTAAGCCTGTCATTATCACCGATAATAAAATTCTTCCCCTGGCTCTGCCTCCGCATCATCATTTTCACTATATTTTAAAAGTAATATAAAAGATATAAATTAAGTTATATGCAAGTTCCAGGCTCAATAAATTTCTTACAGATACAGAACTATACACAGCAAAAGAAAGAAGGAATGAGAGGCTGAAAAACTCAAAAATTTGCAATCATTTCATTCCAAATGCAAATTCAGTTCCTTTTTATGCTTTCTTAAACATGTGGGCAAAAAACTAGAAAATGGTGTCATCTGAATATACCCAATTGATAATGTTGAAAGGGTGCAAAGAGCTACCAAAAGGAAAATTCTAGTTCATGCAAAGGAAAAAAAAAAAAAGAAGGTACTTGAATGGAACATGTCAGAAAGAGAAAAAGAAAATTGAAGGAATGAAAATACCTGTAGCTTCGACCGATTCTCGAGTCACAGTCTCTCCTAAGCTCTTTTTGGCTTAGCATGAAACTGAAATGAATATATAACGAGTACATGCTGAATCTTAGGCTGTAGAAGCGGAATGGAGAGCGTTACTTTCTCATTTACAGCTTCCGCTACTTTGTCAACAAGTGAATGTGATGTAAGATAAAACGTTAGACTGGCATGAAAGTTGCAAGAATTTCAAACCCAATTGTGGGAACTTGTGTGTGCTTGCTGTCGTTTTCTTTTCTTTACTGCATGAATAATTTAAAACAATTTCAGTATCCATGAAAGACGAGTGTGACAGCTATAATATTCAATTTGTCACACGAGTTTCTAAAAGCCTTATTATTATTTTTTAAATATTTATCCAGTTTTTTATTATCTTATAAATCCGTTTAATTGTGCGCTTTCACTTGGAAATCTAAGCTTCATAGGTTTTTTACCCTTGTAGTGCGAAATCTAAAAGGTATATTAACAGTTTAATTATTTTGATAAATTATTTATTAATCTTATGCGAGTGAAATGTAGATATGGAATTTGTACGTTTAAGTCGTGCAAAATGATTATGAGCTTTAAAGTTAAGCAGCACCCTATACTCGACTTGTGCAATAGCCAAATATTGCTCGCACTCTAAAAGATGTGCATAGGGTGTGCGTGCGACTTGAACACGTACGACTAGAATGTGCATCTTGTACTGTGATGATTTTTGCACATTTCGTCTATGTAGGTGATGCACGATTTAATCGTGCACATTCGCAATTCGCATTTTACTTGCATTATATTAATAAATAGTTTGTAAAAAAAAAATTCAAACTGATATTAAGGATAGTGTAAAGAACCTTGGGATACACCACCCCAAAAGCTAGCTCAAAGGGTGGGAGTGTCCAAGACCTTATAAACTCCACATTAGTTGCACATACAACCAATGTGGGACTATATATCTCAACACGCCCCCTCACACGAGAGCCCATTGAGCTTGAAGAGTGGACAATGCAACAGGCCCAGCCTACCTATGCTAAGAAACGCCACAAGAGAAAGTGGGGGGCGGCAAGACTCTGATACCATGTAAAGAACCTTGGGATACACCACCCCAAAAGCTAGCTCAAGTGATGGGAGTGTCCAAGGCCTTATAAAGGCCACATTAGTTGCACATACAACCAATGTAGGACTATATATCTCAACAGATAACATATTATGCCTACTCTACGTACTCATTTCCAACACTGTAAGATCAGAATCGTAAGAGAAGTGAGAAATAATAAAGGTTAGTTGAGATTCTAATTAATACAATGATAATGGAGATGAGCATGTAGAATATGCATGAAAAAAAGTTGGGCATAATATTATAATATATTAACTTTTGTGCATTAGAAGGTTCAAAAAGTCAACTTGACTAATTTAACAATGCTAGGCTCCCCACCTACAATAAATCAATAATAGGCTCCGAGCCTACATAAGCTCCTTATTTGTAAATAAATCGTGATGCACCAAGATTAACATTTATTACTGTTAGCATACAATGTTCTGATTAAGTCACATTCCAAAACTAATTTCAAAAGCATGAAACATAATATATACATTTGTCAAAATCAATTAGGGCAATGATTTTCTCCATCCACATGTGATAACAACTCTTTCCTACAAATACATGGAATTGTGTGTCAAATTTATTTTTATTTTTTTTTTAATTTTTTTCATAAAATAATGGTCTCACCATTTTGTTTCAATAGGAGATAAGTTTTTTATTCCTGTAAAATAAGAAAAGTTTTCCCCAATCAATTAATCATAAACATATCACAGTTTCATAGATAAATTCACTAATATTAGAATGCTTCTCAAATATTCAATTATAAAATTATAAACAATTCACAAATCCTTAATTTCCATGAAGTTTCTTAATTCCATCAAAATGAAGTCAAATATTATATAAAACAATAAAGTGGCAACATAAATAATTCCAAAAATTCTATATTTTCTAGAGCATTCAAATAATAATGTAAGGTCTTTCAAATACTCAAACTTTGAAAAATAAATATAGCATAAATTTCGTAATGTCGTTTCAAACTATTTCTCATATATTAGCAAAATAATAATTAAATAAAGCAAATCGCCTATGTTGTTTTATGCCACCTCCTCCATTAAATTTTTTAAGTACCAAGCACCTATATTTTCATTCATAATGCCATTGTAAAATAAAATAAAAAATAATTTTAAAAATCAAAATAAAATAAATTATAGTTTGGACCCCACTATTTATTTACAAATATCAAAGATGACGAAATAGAACTTTAAGATAACTGTCGACCAATAATATTACTGCATGTCATAATATGTTACCATTGTTTCCAAAAACGAAGTGTATCCTTCGCATCACTTCTACGCATAGCCCATGGCTCAGATTGAAATCAATTATTATTAATTTATGGGTTTGGTGTTTTTCATTTTAAATAACATAATGTTATTTTAAGAGAGAGATAGACACAAGAAATAAAAATCATGAGAGAAAAGTGAGTGGTTTTTTTAATTTAAATTTTAAATAAAAAAATATTTTCTTGTGTCTATCTTTCTCTTAAAATAACACAACTTTTTGTCATTTAAAATGACAAACACATTCCCCTTAATTTATTATTATAATTATTAGTATTAAAATATAGAACACACGCTTTCTTACAAAAGTGACGAAGCTTCACGCATGTTCTTCTCTCGATTGATGCGTTGTCTTCTTGTCATTGGTTTTATGACCAACTTAATTTAGATTATGTATATAAATATCTATAAATGTGTGGCATGCCCTCTTCTCAATCCCACAAGCAATTTGAACTGGATTCATTAATAACTTTTCTCTCCTCTGTGATTAAGCCACGAGAAAGAACACAAGATGTAATGAGTCATCACCACCTGGGTCTCTTTTTTTTTTTTATTATTATTTCTAGCTAGCTTGTCTCCCCAATTAACTCAAACATTATTTGATGCATCTTCCAATTCAATCTCTTTGAGTTGATTTAACCATCATTTGTCATCTTGGGTGGCCTATACCTGTTCTACAGCATAATATTTCTCCCCTTGAAACCTAATGTAAAACCAAGAAGTTTTGCCACCATATTAACCTTGCCAAAAGCTTCTTTGTAGTTGAACTATCATGATTCAAGTAAAACCTCTTGGCCATAACTCTTGGGTTTAGAACATAAGAAGGTGATATTCGGGTTTTGGGAAATGATGATGGATTAGCAAAGGATAATATAGATATCGGGGATGGAAAACATGCCATGGTTTTGGTTTCCTTGGAATGGTGTTGATGGTTGGAATAACCAACTATAATTTTTGTGTTTTGCACTATGTAGTGCAACAAGTTGAATTTAAACTTTTCTGAACAAATGTTTATAGTCTGAACCACGTTTGATTAAATTTTTTTTATTGAGATGACATATACATAACAAAACAATTGCTGATTTGTTGATGAGATTTTTAATTGGATAAAATGATAATATGAGTGATAAAATGATGTATAATTCTCTTTGACGGCTTCTGTGGCAGGTCATGACTTCGTTATTCCTTTTATCTGCTATAACGTGCCAGGTGTTATAGTTTGGATTAGTTTTTTTTTATGCCCCATCTCCTTAAAAGCATAACTTAAACCAAATATTTTTTTTCATGAAAATTCTTAAAAAATTAATATTGAAAGGAAGAAAAAAACTATAAAAAGTAATTTTTTATTAAAAGTTTGGCTTCCAACTCATAACTTCTGGCCTATTTTAAAAAATACACGTTATTTATATGATTATATATTCTTGTTGAATGCACCCCATGTAGATATAAAACTTAACCTGTTAAAAAATATTTTTGTTTTCTAACAATTATTTCAATTCAAAACTGGATAATATATCAAATCCAGCCAATTTATATTACGAAAGTCTATAAAATTTAATTAGTTTTATTAATAGAATAGACGCTATGAGAATCGAACTCGTAATTAACCACTTAATCTCGTTGTTTTTGGTACGATATAATAAATCAATTACCTAAAAGTGAGAAGTGAAGCCTATCAATGATTTGACTCTCTTCTCTTAAAGAGATAATTAAAGTTGAAAAAAAAAAATCAGTACTTATCTCTAATGATACAACAAGTGTGAATCCGTACACCACCTCTTTTCCCGAATGTAAACTATTTTAGGTTTAATCAATAACTCTCTCCATCTTAATTGACATCTATGATAACTACACTAAAAACATGAAAATTTGAGGATCAATTGAATATTCGACTTAACTGATGATTTTGACTTGTAATTAATTAAATTATCAAAATATTGTCTTTATCTTGAAAAATAAAAGAAACATATCTTGTCCTTACCAACTTTTCACGTTAATTTTAAATTTTAACATAAAATTGCTTATTTCAAAGGGCATAAATATAGTATTATTTAAATATACATAAGTAGTTAGCCGTGGATTAGTGATAAAAAATTTAAGGTTAGAAATTAAAATCTCAATAGTATAATCATATTAAAAACTATATACAATAAGTTTTTTTTTTTTAATAAATCATCCTATATCCAATCATCAACGGATGCCAATTAATTCGGTTTCGAGTGGGAAAGGACTCCGAAAGGAACAAAAAAATTTCTTTTAAAATTAAGTTGATATTAAAATCTTTTCGGGGATGGCTTCCCTTCGAAATTTAATCTTATTCAAACTTCTTTGCCAACGTTTAACTCTAAGTGTTGGCAAAATGTGAGGAATACTAAACAGGAAGCACTTTTTAAAAAAAAAAGTAATCTCTAGTATTGATATGCTGCCAAAAATACTCTTTTAAGAAAATAAATATAAACATCACTATCACTTCTTATTGGTGCTGAATATAAAAAATATTTATGAGTTTCTTAAATAATAGTTTGAGTTTTTAAGAAAATAATAAAAGTGCACATGTTTGGATTAATTTAATATTAAAAATATTTAAAGAATATCCTGAGAATTTTTGGAAAAATTAATTATCTTTTAAATTTAATCTCTATTGCCACAGATTGAGGTATTGAGCTAATAATTGAGTAAACTAAAATTAATGAGAATAAAAAATATTAAAAAGAAATACATCTGGTGACGCCTCATGTGGTTATCCCACGAGGGCAAGACAAGCGGAGCGACGACTCAAGCTAGTCCTAAATTGCATCAGCGGAAAAGTTTTTTTTTGGATTTATTAACACAATTGTCTGAAAAGTTATTTTTTGGACATATAGCGCATCAGCGGAAAAGTTAGAGAGTACTATATAAATGCAACTTCTTAGTTGAAAAACAGAGACGAAACTTATATTCTAGTGGGAGAGTATCTTGCAAGGATATATATATATATCACTGCAAAGAGAAGCAGTACGTACTGAAAGCTCACACACACACAACGTACATATATATATCGACCCTTTAAACTTCAGAGAGATCGAAGGGAGAAAGAATAAGCAGAAAATTAACATGGAATGGAGGAAATATTATATGGATGTGATGCTTGTACCATTAGGATTTCTTATGACCATTGGTTATCATGTTTGGTTATGGTATAAGGTTCGAACACAGCCTTCTTCCACCATAATCGGAATCAATACTCATGGAGGACGCTTCTGGGTCCCTGCCATCTTGAAGGTATACAATCTTGTCTATGAAAACATTAACAAAATATATTATAATTTGATTGTTTCCATTTTCAGTAACTATTTTTTTTGGGGAAAGCATGTGGAACTAATCTGTGTTCCTAATTCTAAGACTTGATAATATCCAGCTTTTCAATTCTAAGTTCATATGAGTTATCATATATATATACTGATCTCTCTCTCTCTCTCTCTCTCTCTCTCTATATATATATATATATATATATATATATATCTCATGAGTTAAGAGTTTCTCTGTTTCTGATATATACTTGCTGTATGAATAATGGATAGGTATTGATATGACCAAATTAACGATTTTGGTTTAAGATCTACCACTATTTCTTACATGTTTTAGCCACAAAAATTGACGTCACCCGTTTGCATGATCAAAGCTGCAGTGTTAACTAGTTAATTTGCTAAATGAGGAATTGTGAAAAAGCATATTTTACAAATTAAACGTAACCGTGTCCTTGGAATATAATCATCTTTTATTCTTAGTACTTATAAAATATTTTACTATATGTTAAAAAATTATGATTATTTGGATGATATTATTAAAGTAACTTTTCAGATTTTTATAATTTATCGTGGGCTTATTTTTTCAAGTTATTATCAGAGTTAGTATCATTCGCATATTTTTGTTCGTGACAGGACATTGAAAAGAAGAACATGCTTGCAGTTCAATCTCTTCGTAATATGATAATGGGATCAACACTTATGGCCACTACGTCTATTCTCCTCTCAGCTGGCTTAGGAGCGGTCATAAGCAGCACTTACAGTGTAAAACAGCCTCTGAATGATGCTGTCTATGGAGCTCACGGAGAATTTATGTTAGCACTTAAATATGTGACAATCCTAACTATATTCTTAATCTCATTTTTCTGTCACACTCTGTCGATTAGGTCTCTCAACCAGCTGAGCATCCTCATTTGCACACCACAAGATGTCATGTCCATGATTACCCCCGAATATTTGACTGAGCTTTTGGAGAAGGGGATTATTTTGAACACTGTTGGCAACAGGCTTTTCTACTCAGCACTTCCTCTATTGCTTTGGATCTTTGGGCCTGTGTTGGCTTTCTTGGGTTCTATCGCTATGTTACCAGTGCTTTACAACATAGACTTTGTTTGGGGAAATGGGAAGGGAAAGATCGTGAAGAGTGACAAAGGGAACGATTATGTTTGATGTATTGAGCCTAAGTAACATGAAACAGATAGAAAATATGTGTATACGTCATTAGGTGCATCATTTACAACTTTTTAAGTTGTAAAGGTGTTTTGTTTGTATCTCTATCTATCTTCTTGGAATTAATTTTTAATAATTATGTTTATGAATAAGAAGTTTGATACGAAAAAAGTGTATCTTTTCGTCGTCGAACGGATGTATCCTTACGTGTTGAATGAATGTGTTGTTTCGCAATTGTTGGGTAGTAATTTTCACAAGAAAGAGTTATCGTTCTCAGTGAACAGGTTGAAGTATTTTCTTTTTATGTTTCTGGATTAAAGATTCTTGAATTGGAACTCAATTAATTTTGTTACAGCCTTATCAATTATTAAAATCTGATCTAAAAAGTAAATAAATGATTTATCAATGTTAAAAGGCTTCTGGGTATATCTCAAATCATGGATGACAAAAATATTTGCATTACTGCAAATTCGTACATTGCTATGGCAAGTTTATAACAGTTTCTGAGTTACTACAGCAAGTTTAGCTGAAACTTTCCAGATTCAACAATAAGGATCAAGAAAGACTTTTCCCAAAGCTTCTTAAATCTTTATAGAAATTCATATCAGAAAACACCTTTGATTATCCCTAACCAAAAGGGTTCATTTAACACTTAACAAAAATCCATTTTCCAATTTCTTTTTGTTGAAATACTCCAAGTCCCATTCCCATGGATTTCTTGAGTTAAAAAGATGAAAGTATCAAACGAATGAAATAAAAGAAACAGTAACAATGTACATCAAAAATTTCACCCTATCATTTTGACAAACCCAGAAAAAGAAAGAACTAGAAACCCATTTTTTAAAACAAAAAATCAAAGATTAAAGAAAGACAAACATGCATTCAGAATTAAAATCAGAGTAAATCGTACAAATCAAAAGTACCGTTTCCTAAACTAGAGCTAGGATTATCTTGTGAAAATGTAGAAGAACTCTTGCATGCATATCCTTGTGATACTTTGTCACAGTGCTTCGAGTTCAAGAAGAAAGAAAGAACACATTCAGCTTTCATCACTATCTCTCAATACTCAGATTCTTCTAAAAAAAAGAAACAATAACGAACATTGAAAAAATCTCTGGATCTGAAAAACTATTCTAGTTTAATTTTTTTACAAACAACAAAAGGAACTAAAAACTAAAAAATTCTAAAAGCTAATAGTCGTCTACCTTCTTGTCATCCAATAGCTCTGAATTGTTCCCTCATCCAAAAAATTTGATCCATGTGCCTTCTTCAAAAAATACCTAAAAAATATGAATAATTACAATTATTAGCAAAAATAAATTAACTTGGGCTTGGTTATTTCCTTTTTGAATTGGGCCATATTTCATATTCTTTCAGCCCATTTTCCTGTAATTGTCAACCCAAAAAGATATAAAATAATATAATAATTATATAAATAATTTAGTGCTAACAGCTATCGAATATATTTCTTTTGAATCTTGACCTTACGTTTTCTATAAATAAATAGAAAATTAGAATTTTGAAGATGTTTTTCACATTGCATTTGCATTTGCATTCTTCTACTCTAGTGTGATTGGTCAGACATAGGTTGAGTTCGATGAGGCTATTCAATATGGAAGTGTCGCCACAAGAATAGAGGTAATCCGTTCTATACTGGGAGACAATTGTCCACGAATCTTGGGCATCATATAGAGGGAATATTGTCTTAAGGACACAATATCTAACACTTGGCTCAGATTTTCCCTTGATGCATTCGTATGTTTTTGTACAGTACGTTTTAACTTTGTGTTATTGCATGTGTCAATTTCTTGTGTGTATTACATGGAACTGTGTGTATTGTTAAAATGATTTCTCTAACACAGATTATTCTTTCTCAATGATTTTTAATATCATATGGATAACAATCTTAAGACTATAAGAAACACACAATTTGATGTGAATTTAGGAACAATGCTAACAGATGCAATCCAAGTCCAATTTGGTAAAATCTTGAGACTTGAAGAAAAAGAATTCAAGGAAACACACAATGGGTTGATTCAAACATTGAGTGTGTATTTCAACTTAAATATCAAGCTGTTGTGTTTTTTTTTTGTAATTTTTTTATACACCTCTTTCTTTTTTTAGTTTTTTCTTCTTCAGCCTTAACATAGTAAACAAAATTGTCAACAACAAGCACTCTTTTTTTTTTGTTCAAACACTGATACCTCTGATAATTGGAATTTGTAATTTGGGAATGAAAGTTTGAAATTGTAGTGATCGAGAACGAAGCTAGACAAAATTTCCATCAAAACAAGCTATTAGTTAACACACTAACAACATACTACTCAAGGCATGCACATGAATTGAAAGGATAAAAGTTTATGAACAGTGATGAATATAGAATGAACACCAAGAACACAATTTCAGAAACGAATGAACTGAACAAGAAATTGAAGGAAACCAACAACGAGAAGAATAAAAGAATTAGAAATAGACACAAAAGCTAAAACAAAATAGCACTATTCAAATTTAGCAAACAAAATTTAGGGCAAAAGCGTTACCAAAAGGTTTAACTCAATTCCAATCCTAGAATTGAGCTCTGGTACCAAATGATATGAATCAACCCATTGAATGCTTCATTGATATCTTTTTCTTCAAGTCTCAAAATTTCTCCAAATCAGACTGGGATTGCACTCCTTAACACTGTTCTCAAATTCACATCACAATTGTTCCTCGAACATTGTTGGTCCTTTATTTGTGTCCATTTTGGCTTTGGACACCTCCTAGTTCTGCGGGTGCATAAAGAATACGACCTTGTAATATTATCATAGAAGTGGTCCTCACTTCACACCCTGGTGCATCTCAACATACACTGTCTGAACACTTCAGAATCAGAAATAATTAAAAGTATACTTGCTTACCCTCTACTTACGCACTGCCTTGTCTAGGAATGAGTATGAGTTTTGAAAAACTCCACAATGTTTATCCGTCAATCATCACTTGGTTTTCTTTTTGAACCTAGTTCATGGGATCGCCACTCTTCTAGGTAGAGTGTCCGCAATAATCAACATTTTAATGTCCTTAAACCCATTCCTTTCGACATATTATACATCAACTCTCTAGTTGTACCGTTTGTTAGCGGATCTGTAATTATACCACTAGAGAGTAATTACCTCACCATATCACGTCTCCAATATATATATATATATATATATATATATATATATATATATATATATATATATATATATTGAGACTTACCATTATATAGAACACTTCTTGCAATTCCGACTGCTACCTTACAATCATAGTGGACGCACATAACAAACATGATTTCAACCAATTCCAAATATCCACAAGGAAGTTACACAACCACTCGGTTACCTCACCAACTCTATCCGAGGCAATAAGCTTTTGCTTCCATGGTCGACCTTTTAATACATGCTTGCTTGGATGATTTCCAAGACACAATCCCCCACCCTCCCCCACCAAGTGTGTACATATACCCACTTATAGACATGGTGTCACTAGAGTCGGTGATTCAATCTGCATCATAATCGATATGCACAATTATTATGTACATATCTAATGAACACACAGTCCACTGTCTTTGGCCCGATCTTAACCCTTTTTGGTTTCCAAATCCTGACCTTTGCCAAACACCCCCATACTCTAAGATAATTCAAGGAAAGCTTCTTGCCTTTCCAAATTTCATAGGGGATGTTCTTTGTTTTCTTGTGGGGTACTTTATTGATTATATAATTTGACATTAAAATGACTTCGCCCTACAAATTTTATGGTAAAGCAAATGTCAACAACATAACATTCATTATTTCATTCAATGTCCGATACTTACTCACATCACTGCATAAGTAAGGGTGTAAATTGGTCTGGCTAGGCCAGGCTTTGGCCTTCATGACATAGTTATACGTAAAAATTTGTTGAGCCTATCTAGCTTAGTAGCCTATCAATGGCTTGGTTTATAGGCCAGGCCAGGCCTGCTGTTTAAAAAATAAAAAAGCCTAATATGGCCTATAGGCCTTCCAGGCCTACCAATTATGACATATTTATAAGAAGAATATGAAAATAATAAATTAGGGTGAGAATATGGCATAAAATTCTCTTCTTTTTAACTAGAATTTCCAATGAACGAGTTGGGGCTTGGAAGGAATTAGGGTGAGAACTGAGAAGCGACGCACAAGAGAAGGAATTAGGGTTGGGAGTTGAGACTTAGGATAAATGAATAATAGTTAAGATAAATATATCATCTTATTTAAAAAAAATTTAATAGGCCAGCCTATAGACTTCTAGACCAGGCTTTTCATAGTTGGCTTATGACTTATTTGTTAAATAGAATCTTCTACAAGCCTAAGCATATTCTAATTTTCAAAAAGATCAAGCTAGACTAGACCAAACATACTTAAAATAATTCTACCGGGACTTCCAATGTGGCTTTGATTGTGATTACCATAATTCACCTTTAAGCTGTTTCGCCATAAAAGCTTTTCTCTTTTTATGGCACTAACATGTGCTTTTCAGTTCTCATGCCTTGAACAAAGTAGGCATTAAATATAATAATGTTGGTTGGACACAAGCCACCAGTGTTGAAAAATTCGAACTTATCCGGCCGAGTCAACTCGGAACCGGTCCAGATTTTCTATTATACCAGACTTGTAATTGAACCAGTGTGAACCGGTATGAACAGGTCAATTTTTACAAAAATCGGTGATTCGACCGATTTTATTTGAACCGGCCCGATCAGATTTTAAAAAAAATTACAATACGGTGAGTGGTGGAGACAAGATCGGTGATCCTGGAGGAGGAGGTGTTGCTCAAGGCTTGGGACTTCTTCACCACGTCACTGAAATTCTTCTCCTTCAAAATAACAATGTCCTTCTCGTCCACCTCCGCCTAGGGGTGGCAATACAGGTATTGACCCGCGGGATGACCTGGGACACGACCCGTCAAAACGCGTGTCGTGTCAACCCACGGGTCACTAACGGGTCGTTACGAATTGTAAA